AATTAACATGCTCTTATATCTGTTTTATTGTATAGGTGTTTTGTATCTCTGTTGGTCCTATCTTTTTTTTATATTGTGGCAAACTTGCTGCTTTACATTGTGCTTTATAAATATACTGGCTTTGGGTTTAATGGGAAGGGTGTGTGATTTTCCCTCATAGGAAATTGCCACTGGTCAGAGGACAGCATAAAGATGTAGGCATAATGACAGAAAACAGTCATGGAAATACAGCGGGTGATATAAGTATTGCACACGCCACCATTATTCTCTAAATATTTCTAGAGGTGCTATTGATATGACATTTTCACCTCATGCTGGTAACAATCCATGCAATCCACACATACAAAGAAACATACGATATATTTACAGAAATTAAGTTATGTGTAATAATGTGGAATGCCACTGGAAAAAAGTATTAAATGTGTGAAGAAAGGGAACGAAAAGGCATGGAAAGCCAAGACACCAGCCGACATCTCTGAGTAATTACAAAGCAATCCTTTCCTCTGTCAGTGCAAATTAACATCAGCAGGTTCAGTCCCAAATGATGGCCAATAAAAATTGGTCTATGGTGTCACACAAGAAACATCTCATTATGGGTAAAAGTAAAGAGCTTTCTCAAGACCATCACAACCTTAATGATGGCATTGGTTACAGAAGGATTTCTAAATTTCTGAATGTTACAATGAGCACTGTAAGGGCCATAATCCAGAAGCGGAAAGAACATCATTTCACAATAAACCGACCAATTACCAGGTTCTCCTCACAAGATTTTTGACTGATGAGTGAAAATAATCATCAGAAGAGTTGTCCAAGAGCCAAATACCAGTTGTGGAGAGCTTCAGAAAGACCTGGAAGTAGCAGGTACAATTTCAGTAATGGATGCAATAATACACATCCTGTTTGGAGGTCAAATGGCACTGCACATCACACCAAAAGCTCCCTACCATCAGTGAAGTGTGAAGGTCGGAACATTATCCTTTGGAGCTGTTTTTTTTAGAATAAGGTACTGGCAAACGGTAAATAATTGAAGGAAGGATGAATGGAAAATTGTACAGAGACATTCTTGATTAAACATGTGCTGCCATTTACCAGGATGATGAAGATGAAACATGGGTGTATATTTTAGCAAAACACTGACCCCAAACATACAGCCAGAAAACTGTCAGTTGGTTTCAGAGAAACAAAACAAAGCTGCTAGAATGGCCCAGCCAATCACCTGACCTAAATCCAACAGAAACTCTTTGGAAGGAACTAAAGATCAGAGATCAAAGCAGTCCCACGAAACCTTCAAGATTAGAAGACTGTTTGTGTTAAAGAATGGGCCAAAAATTACACCTGAGCAATGCAGGAGGCATCTTGAAGCTGTCATTGCCAATAAAGGACTTGTATAAAGTATTAAGTACATTACAGTAAGTGTGTTCAATACTTTTTCCCTGTGTAATTTCACATTATTACTCATAACCTAATTTCTGGACATCTATAGTTTGATATCTTTGTCTGTGTGGACTGCATGGATTCGTCTGGTGAAAATGTCATGTCAATAGAACCTCTAGAAATATATTTATTTTAAAAAATGGTGCCGTGTTCAATACTTTTTTCCCCTACTGCAGTTTCTGTTTCTTTATGACCGGGATGTGGGTGGTGTTGTCTGTTTGCGTTGAGAACAGTAGGATCAACTCTTATACTCACACTGATTGTGTCCTGAGAGTTTCTTGTAGTAATTTCTTGTCTTTCGACCCAGCTGGTTTTAAGTGTGACTGCAAATGGTGTTCGGGCTTAATTGTGACAACATTTTACATTTTGTTTAACAGTGAGAAGATAACATTATCTTCTAGGGTTGATAGGCATCGGCTGACCTACTTTAAGCATCTGATTTTTAACTGTTTTATCTTGCTATTTTCCTTTCTATTATAAATGACACCTTCAGCCGTGAAAGGAATATAAAAGTTTGCAACCTCTCTGTTTAGATTAGAACTGGTCGAAGCAAGGCACGGCTTTAATAACACTCTCCGTCTGTTGCAATTCTTGCAAAAATTCATTAAAGTGCCGTTATGAATGATTTTCACAAATCTCCTTTGTTACTGAAATTATCGCCGTGTTAATTTTTTATTTTCAATATACATACTCTGGGAAAAGACCGAGTTTTTGTGTTATTTTACTTCAGCTCCATGGAAGAAAGTGGGTTTTAATGTTAAGCAATACATTTCCTGTTAACTCCACCGTGACTACGTGACCGACACAATAGAATGCTAGCAATAGTTTCCTTGCTTGACTGACTGACACACCCTAAATGAAATGTAGGCCATGAAATGAAGGACTAATGTAAGAGTCAAGTTTTCACTTTCTGTTTGTTTATGTTGTTATTTAATGATAAAAACATTAAAGCTTTGTTAGCGTTCATTCAAGGATCTTTTTTTAAAGAACTTTTTAAATGTGTCACTCATTTATATTTCTCCTCATTATTCACCATTTAAGCATGATTGGATAAATGAATCATCAATTTGAACCTTTTTCTCATCTAAATAAAGCTGTAAGAGTATTGTAGCAGAAAAAACTAAATAATGTATGATTTATTTTTCATAAGTGTTAAGCCTAGACATATGAGCTTCAAAGATAATGACGAAGCACAAATCAAATCTTTTTTACCAGAGCAAACCTGTTTCTTATTGAATAAATGGATGTTAACAAGATAAAAGCACCACAAACTCCGATCTAGAAACTGTATTTTAGGTTGTGAGAAACAAGAAACTGATTTAAAACCAGATATTATATATACTGGATAATAAGACACATGATGCATTATAGGACAAATGCATCTAACAGATCACATGTTGGAATTATTTAAATGTATTCCTTTATTGTCAAAATAAAAACCCTACAATCTTTTAAGGTGGTGGTGATACTTCTTATTTTGATTTTTATAGACTTTAGACCACTGAGGTCTTTTAAGGAAATTGTGTTTTGAAGGGTTGGTGATGTAATGCATGCATGCTTACTACAAACTAACTCACAGGGATTTTGTGGCACACATAATGGGAACAATGCATTTCTGTAAAAACTTTTAAAGATAAGATCTGGTTACAACACTGAGAGAGACAAGGCTGTCGTACAAAAGTCCCATCATCAGTAGATAATGGGGGTAAACTGTCTTGCCAAAGGACAATGAACTGAGATAAACTTGTCACCATCTGTTTGCAGGACAAATTCCTGCTTCTTACACAACTGTCACCATATATGCTGGTGGAAATCATGGGATCAAGATCCATTTCTAGAAAATATGGCCAGGTCCTAGGTTATGTTTACACCTTTTTGGGTATGCAGATTTTCTTCCATGGCTAGGAGGAAAAATATATCTGAATTTTTAAAAGCCACAAAATATTTCTGAGGTAACTTTGGCAAATATTTGCAGAGTGAGATAAGAGGTCTCTGCTCCTGGGCATTTCATTCACCAAATATGTTTTCTATACTTTATTCTGAAACAGAATATAGATTTGTTGTGTAGTTTTTTGCTGTTGTTTTGTTGTTGTTTTGTTTAATTAGCTCAGTGTTTATTGTTTTATTCAAAGGATACAGATGTGCTCAGACATGCCAGTCTGACTCACAGTACTGTGATTGCAGTCATGGGTGCACAACTAAAAGCTGGCCTAAAAGGAGGGTTGGGTGGTGGTGGTGTCATGTAGTAGGTAACTGATAGTTGATAAAAAATATCAATTAAAAAGATTATTTAAAAAGAGATACAGGGGTTAAAGTTGGCCCGAATATTCCAGCACTATGTACCAGAAAGATTTAAGGCTGTATGCTGTTCCTGGAAGATCTGCTGCCTGTTATTCTTTATACATTTTATTTATATAGCAGTAATTCGCAATCATCTCAACGCACTTTACAGAGACAATGCAATCAGATCATACTGTCTGAATAGTTTAAAGCTTTCTATCCAAGGAAAATCAGTTGACTGTAGCGACTAATTGACTATAAAACAACGCCTCAAACCAAGCATGTGGTCAGTAACATGGGGGCGGAAAAACTCCCTTTTAACAGGAAGAAACCTCTAGCAGAACCAGGCTGATTAGTGTTCGGTCAACTGCCAAAGCCGACTGGGGTGCAAGCAGACAGAAACAGACATACAAAACGAGCATAGAGGCCTTGATCTATAAATATTTTTTATGTTATCATAGTGGCGCAGTGGGTAGCACTGTTGCCTTGCAGCAAGAAGGTTCTGGGCTCGATTCCTGGCCCGGAGTCTTTCTGCATGGAGTTTGCATGTTCTCCCTGATGGGCTTCTCTAAAAAAATTGTCCTTAGGTGTGAGTGTGTGCATGAATGGTTCTTAGTCCTGTGTATCTCTGTGTTGCCCTGCGATGGACTGGCGACCTGTCCAGGGTGTACCCCGCCTCTTGCCTGTTGGTATATCTCTAAAAAAGTGTTTTTGCCATATATGCAGGTTCTAAGGAAATAAAATGAAGCAACTGTGTATTTTAATATCCTACCAGCAGGAATATAGAACCACTTTCACCCTTGACGACGTGTATGTTTGCTATTTTTTCTACTTTTTGTAAAATAAACTAGTAGGCCTATTGAATATGATACCAATCATTGTAGCAGTGAAAGTTTTAAAATCCATAGGGTTTAAAAAATATCTAATTAAAGTTTTTGTTCTCCTATGAAGCCACATATACGGCATGAAATGAGGTACATCATACAACAAATGACACACATTAATGTGGTTTGTCTGCCAGGTTTCTAGCCAACCTTGTAGTAAATGATTTATGGAGGGAGTTGAAAATAAAGGGGAGGAGGAGGTTTTCCTGTATTCCTCTTTTTGTCTGTCATTTTGGAACATTCGTATTTTTTCTTATATTTATCTTCTTTGCTCTCCTTTTCTTAAGCAGGAGAAATACAGACTTAATTCTGAACATTGGTCCTTCTGTGAGTCTGAGAGATAAGCAAACCATCCCAGAGAGAATACTCAAAGGAATTTTTGGATTTTACTCTTATTCACCTATGGAATCATATGTTTTGGATTGTTTATTCTGTTTGCTCCCATCCTTCTTACTTTTTCTTTTTTATGTGGGTCTGCGCTGTCCTAGACTGTGTGGCTGGGCAAGGGTGGCTGTCAGGGCGTCAAGCTGGAGACTCTGGGTCATTATCTGTCTAATCCTGCAGCTGCCTTTGCACAAGGAAAAAAGAACAAAGGCTGAGGACCTGAAATCACTTGAGACAGATATAGTGTCAGGTCAGGTCTCAGATGGACCCAAGCTTATCTGTAAACCCACTGCATTGGCCAGATATCTCCTGCAGCACTGTGGTTCTCTCACAAAGGCAAAACTGGCTGCTTGGCCTCGGGGAGACCCCCACCTCCAGACTTTCTCCAGCCAAATATTTGGAGAACATAGACAGAAGGTACAGTTCACCAGAGACCACCTATTACTAAAAGACGGGGGAATTGTAGCACTGGATTGGGCTATAGGGACGAGACTTATCGAGCTGACAGCGAAGAGGAGGTGGGAGGTGAAAAAAGAGCATCAATCAGTGAGGAAGACACTCGGATGCTTCACCTCAACACCCCCTGTTCTTCTCCTCATCCCTCAGTTCTGGGGAGGGATGACACCCCACTTACAGCTGCTCTGCAGTCAGGCCATGCGGCAGGGTTTCTATGTGGTGGTGTTTCATCATCGAGGCACAGCGGGGTCCCCCCTCACCACAACAAGACTCACTGAGTTTGGAGACCCAAGCGATCTGGAACAGGTAGGCTACAATATAAAAGAAGGAAGAGCTGACTCAGCTTAAGTCAATCTAGTCTCCTCTTAGTTTTCATATATGGGGGAATCCTGTTTCAATCCAATTTATCTGTTTTTTTTTTTCAGGATGTATGGAGAGGGCAATTTTTTAAGAAATATGTCCCTTTAAAGTGCTTCATTAGCAAATTTAAATTTTTAGAAGAAATATTTCACTGTTAAAAAATAAAAATAACTAAACAATTTTACATCTTGGTCAGGCATCTCCAACTCTGACATTTGAAAGCTACTGGCCTTTAGCCTATAGATGCTTCTCTGTGATGTTTCACCATGTCCCCCAGTTTAATAGAGTGCTGGTAATGATTCATTCATGTGAACTAGTCATGTTGGTGCCAGTGGTCCTCTGATAAAAAGGCTTGCAAAGATGAGCCCCTTTTACTTCGGCAATGATGAAGCAGAATAATCTAGAGAACAGAAAAAATGCTGAAATTGACCTTTAATCTAATGGAATCAAAAGCTGCTGATCAGATAATTAATGCTACATTTATACAGGTCCAAAGACAGTTGAGCACCCATATTCTCCTTTTGGGGATAATGAAGATATTTCAATTCCCCTCATCCTCAACCCACATAAATGCAAAAAGCCTACTGCCCGTGCTATCCTCATGGAATACAACCCAGGGCAGTTAGCCCTATGGTCTACATTAATAACTACCACTAGCTGGAATAGAGCTACATCTATAAATTGCAGGACCCTAGGTGAATGAGTATTAACTCTATATGGAGGCTCCCTAATAATAATGAATCTGAAAACAGCAAAATATGTTGACATAAATACCTACCGGTTAATAAAATATTTGTGCAAACCCACAACAATCAGAATAAGTGGGGCCCCATTAGCACCATCATCTGAAAATTATATCTATCTTTAAATGCTTTTAAAAACATATTGATCTGTCAAATGTTTTAATGAATCTGCAGACACTCTGTTTGTTGAATAGGCATCCCCACCTGCCAAGAACTTTAAGTAAGCATCCAAACTGAATATAATTGCAGTGCTCAAGGTGGCTGCATGTTGGAGTAGCTCTGTTAGCTTGAATTTGATAATCTGATAAGAATTTCAGCTCGTCCGTTTCTGGATCAATATTTCTTCTTTTTTTCTGATTTTTTATTTTTTTTTTTTTGCTTCTGTGTTGGATGTTGTGCAGATAAATTTTTTTTCTTCAGTATCTTAATTTCTGGAGATGATGTGTAACTATAACAACCATACCAAGTTGCTTTTTTTTCAAACCTGGGAGCAGATTATTAGCATTTCCAGAGCAAATAATCAACAATATTTCAACTATGTTAAGTCCCACAGAAAATAAGATTGGAAAGTGCAAGGAAGTTAAACGACAGATGGTGTCATTCAAGAATGATACTATGAAGCTTTGTCTCTGCAGCCTAGATATCAAATTGTTGCCGGTTGGTTTTCATTCATATTATTTACTCAGAGAGTTCACCACTGTTATTTTGGCAGCTGTTTATATTTCACCTCCTGCTGTTATTTACACTGGGTGTAGTGTCATCAGTTACAACTGGCTCAATACTATAACAAAAATTGCAAGGCCGTAAAGGTAAAGCAACAAATTACAAAAACTATGGGTAACTGATGCAAAGCAAAAAACAAAACCACAAACTCAAATGCAGTGTTGGGACTAACGCCTTAAGTAATGTGTTTAAATGAACTATTTAATTTATCAATTAATAACAAACATCTTGTATTCCATAATTGAACCTCTAGTTGTATTTAACATTCCCATAACAAGTAAGTTTTCCAAATTCTTCAACACTTTAGATCATAAAAAGTAACTGCATAGTTACTTTGTTAGAAACAAGTTAATTTCAATAATAACTCTAAATTAAATATACTTTTTTGGATAAGTAACTAGTAACTTATTTACATAACATTCAACGCTTCTTAAAAGTGTGTGGAGAAGTGAGAATGACGCCCAGCAGCGGCAGAGAACAGTGAGGTACTTACCTAATAAACAACCCTGGATCACCAGTAATTTAAGGGTACCGCTAAACAAAAAAAAAAAGCCTTCAGGAAGAGAGATAGGGAATTGCTTAGGAATATGGAGAAGGAATTAAGGTTAAGATAAAAGAAAGCAAGGATGCTTTTAGGACGAAGCCGGACAGAAAGTTCCAGGAGAGCAATTACAGCAAATACATTTTCTATACAAAACAAAATTTAAAGTTTAAATTAGTTTTTAAAAGCCTTTCTTAAAGACCTGAAAATGCTGAAGTTTCCTGTTCTAAATGTTTGTTTGATACCCCTGCCTTAGAGTGATGGTGCTGTTCATGAGGTCTGTATTTCAGGCAGTGACTTACGTCCACAGTCGGCACCCGTCCTCTGTGCTGGTTGCAGTGAGCGAGGGATCAGGCTCTGGGGTTCTGCTGTCCTACTTAGGTGAGCGAGGTTCAAGCACCTGCATAACAGCTGCTGCAGCCATCTCACCTGTGCTGCTGGGCCAACTGTGGTTTGAAAGTGCTTTGCCGCCTATCTACCACTGGGGGGTGTTGTTTCACAGAAAAATGCAGCTCAGCAGGTAAGAGAAGTTTATTTACAGGTATAATATCATGTATATGAAAAATTAAGATGATCTTTTTTTTTTTCCTCAATCCACTTATTAGATATGCAAGTTCCTTTCAAGGATCACTGGATGTGGATCGTGCCCTCAGGTCCTCCAGTCTCAGAGACTTTGAAGAAGCTCTTTTCTGCTCTCTGACTAAGAAAGCTTTTCCATCAAATGAGAGATCTTTGAACCCTTCATATTCCTCCCTGAGGGGATTTTCACCAACAGCGGCCTGGGCTCTGGGTGAACGAGCTAACCCAGCCCAAGACTGGGAGAACTACTGGGGGAGGAATGAACCTCTGAGGGATGCAGATGAGGTGTCAGTCCCAGTGCTCTGTATCTGCAGCTCTGATGACCCTCTCCTTCCACCAACCTCCATGCTTCCCGTTTCTCTTTTCCAGAGCAATCCTTACTTTTTGTTGGCATTAACAGATAAAGGAGGGCACTGCGGGTTCACCCTGGAGGCCAGCAAGGACATAAATGATGGAAAACCAAGAAATGAAGAAGAGGAGGAAGGTATTTGGAGTCATACTGCAGTTTTGGAGTACCTCAAAGTGGTCTCTGATTTCCTGAAAGAGGCAGAGGGGGACTGGAAAAGCTGGGGAGGCCAACTAGAAACAAACAGTCTTAAAGGTCAGAAGGGCAGGATGAACGTTACGGCCCTGCCTCGTCGTCGCAGAGGCGCCATGATGAAAAGGTCAAGAACCCAGCCAGCTGAACAGAGCGCGCTGGATGATGTTGATGGAGACCTGTTTACCTGGAAGAGGTCTTATACTCGTTAAAACAAACACTTTCAGAGACATTAAATCGGTCTTGTGTAAAATACTGCATTTTTTTGTTGTTACAGTGATTTTAAACAAAAAGCTTTAAGGGCAGCATTCCAAGGCAAGGCAATAAAAATCACACCAATTCAGTTCAATTTTGACCAGATTAGTTGGTGAAATCTGTGTGAAAAAGAATGTGAAGTTATTAAAAAACAGCACAGCCTGCACAGGTCAGTCCAGGGGTATGTTTACCTTTGTGTCTCACAACCTCTGGTTTTCAAATTTGACATTTTGAAACTGAAGTGAAGAAATGCTTATCAGGTTTGGAGGCTTGATTGTTCAATACTGGTAGGTCTAGACTGCAGGGAGGCCAAAATAGCATACTTACCGTGCTTTTTGAATATATCTGAAGGGCTTGGTCTACAAATATGTTTTTAATCTAGATATGCCTTTATTCTATCCATCCATCCTTAGTTTGGCTGTTAAGATACAATCAAAGACCATTTTCAAAAAATGTAAAAAGGTACATAACTAAAGAAATATCATATCTGAACATCTGACAGTGAGTCCTGTGTATACTTGCTAGTCTGTTGCAAACTTAAAGACATGGTGGTGACAGTATCATGCTAAGGGAAGTTTTTTTTTTTTTTTTCAGCAGCAGAATAGGGAAAGATGGACAGTGCTAAATATATATTCCTGAGCAAGATCCGTGTGTCAAATGAGGTCCAACTACCAGTAAGGCAAAGACCCAGGATATACAACTAAAGCAACAATTAGTTAAAAGGAATCCAATAAAATCTGTTGAAATAGCTCAATCAAGGCTACATCTTAAACCTATCAAGAATATGTGCTTATAGCCAAGGGTTATTGTTCACAAATAAAAAACTCCAACTTAATGGATCTAAAGCACTTTGCCTTCAGGAAGGCAACTCTTCTGACGAGATGCGGCAACCTCAGAGACTTACCTAAAGAAGTTGTAGCTGATTACAGCNATATGCCTTTATTCTATCCATCCATCCTTAGTTTGGCTGTTAAGATACAATCAAAGACCATTTTCAAAAAATGTAAAAAGGTACATAACTAAAGAGTTATTAACAGTGAAGTTATTTTGTTGATAATTTAAGAAAAAAGTTTAGATTTACTTCACATGCAAGTGAAATAGTTCAAAATCTCACTTTAAACTTAAATTTTAGGTTGTGGACAACAGGGCTTGAATAATTCTAAAGGGTGTGAACACTTTTAAAGGCTGCTGGAAGGTTGGATAGTTTTCATAAAACCTAATATTTTAGTCGAGGTTTTTGTAAGGAAGTGAATTCCATTAATGCCGACACCTCACACACAAACACAATACAACTGAGAAATATTAAAATTACTTTATTACAGGTGATTCTTTATCCAGTAGCCCTCTTCCAACAAAAGATAGTAATTACAAACAAAATATTACATTTATCCCCTAAACTTTGCATCTGAATTACTTTTATACATTTTAAATCACTTATTTTTCATCTGAAGGAATATCTATTCTCTTCTGCTATGGAACATTCAGCTGTTTTATTTTTTATTTGCACAAACTATACACTTTAATACAGTTTAATACAGATCTCAGGACCAGGAAAAAAAAAAAGAAAACAGCAAGATTCACCAAATATGACAAAAAGGATTAAAGGAATACTGATAAACAGTCTGTACAGAGAAGTAACCTGGCCTTTCACCTACTTCAGCCGACAGCAGCCGCCCCCTTCAGCAGGAGGAAGGGGAGGGAGAGGGTGTCACAGTAGACTCATAAAACTGGTCAGCTACTTGTGCAATCAGTGCAACCGATCCAGTTCAGAGCGACCAATGTCTAAAGCTAGACTCTGCCCCCACTGCTTTGCAGAAAAAGAAGAAAAATCTAGTAAATACATCTAAAACTCTGCAGCTTGTTTGGCCCTCTGCAGACAGCTTATGGAAAATAAAAACATTGGGAGTAGAACACTAAAGAGATGAAGAGCAGAGAAATAAAGAAATTTAACAACTACGTAATCGGGTTATGTTACTAAACAGAGAAACTAGCATGTTTAAACAGATGGGGGTGAAACTGTTGTTGCTTATTTTTAGAGGTAAATAATTCAAAAGGTAAAAAAAAAAAATGCTTTCAATAAGTAACCCATGTGGGATTGCCTGAGAAAAGTCAGCACTTCCCACAAGGCTTAAAGTAACCTATTCACAAATTCTTTCAAATAAAATTCTCAGCCTTGTGCAACAATTTGGACTTCAGGGTGAAGAGTGCATCAAGTATTGTGGCCTAAACACTTAATTTTAAGGGTATACTTTAGGCTTTAGTCTACCTCATGTAACATTGTCAGTGTAACACAGTCAAAACTAAAGGAGAAAAGGGTTGAAATCATGTGCAAAAATACCCCTCATACACTTTTGAACAATGTTGTTACTTCCTCAAGGCATTTTGACCTAAAGTTGTGTTTTCCATCAAAATATATGTAACAGCTGCAAAGAGAACAAATAAAAACTCAGAAAATGCTTGTTTTAGCTACAGCAACTTTAAAGCCACAGCGTTGTGCCCTCATCGCAGGTTTCATTTCGCTTTGATTTGTCATTTAGTTTTCTGGACTGTACAATATTAACATAGCGACTGTACATTCCATCTGTGAAAACCATAAAGCATTTCACAATAAGACTTGGATCTTCTCTAAAATGCTCTCTTTAATAGATTTAGGAAACAACACATATCCAGTTCATTTTTTTTTTCTTTTATTTTGGGGGTCATTTCCCTGCAGATTAGCGAAGGGCCCCAAGGGGCCTCTGGAGACACGGGAAGGAAGGATGGAAGCGAAGGATGCAGGGAGATGGGCGGTCAGCTCGGAGGGTGAGACAGAGCGGGGTGTCACACTGGGGAGGGGCTTAGCAGGGGCACGGCAGCGGAAATCCCAGCATCACCACCCATAGATCCACTGAAACATTCAGCAGTCACCAACCAAGCTGTTCATTAGTTTTCATCTTTGAGGCCTTTCTTTTTTTTAAATCAACATTTACATCTCCTTTAACAACAGATCTGTGTTACATTTTTTTCCTGAAAAGTTTAACGTTTACATTTTCTCTGTACATGCATCCGTCAGCCAAGTCTACGTTCTTCTACCATGTGTGCATGAGAATAAAATCGCATCTGACCTTCAGAGCGGGCCATGGCCAAAGTGCAACTTTCAGGCTTTACTGCATTGTTTGGGACACTGTAGAGTTACTGCTAACAGGTGAAGACCAGTTTATATTCAAGTTGTGGTTAGGAACTGCTGAAAACCCATCCTTTCCATGGAGGATGGTGGATTAATATGACGACAGCATCCTTTAGAGTGAGACGGCCTGGGAAAAGGTCTGTGGAAACCCAAGAGCTGAGCCAATACTGACTACTATTACTACTCGGCCGTGTGGCTTAAACTGACCAAGCCTCTCTGGAACACACTGACAAACAGTCCAGTGCTGGCAACTGCTACAATTAGCATGTTAGCAGTCTGACACAAATTCTTCAAATAAAGAGAGACGCACCAAGAAACTGGCTGAGAGCCACAATCCTCTTCTTCCAGGCATTAAACGCAGCACTAAAGGCAACCAGGCTGTCCAAACGACATTATTTGGCATGGACGTTAAGGAAGAGGATCAAAGTGAGCTAAGGGTTACTCAGGAAGGGTTTTAAAATCAGCAAAATGTAAGAAGCAAAAAGTAGACAAATTAGTATAAAGTCATCTGTTGATTTAGACTGAAGCAACGCAAAGAGATCTTTGGTACAGTAAGTGCTGCTTTTGATTTTAACTCAACTTTTAGGATTTTGCACCAGCTATGTTCCTAACTTAAGGTTACGGTAATTTTTTTAATTGAGGAAAGGGCAAACTGACCTGAAGTCAGCCAAATAACAGGAAACTGGAAAGTAACAGGAAAGTTGCTCTGTCCTTCAGAGCTCAGGTTCACTGTCTTAGTATGTCCTGAAACATCCAAGACTTTGAAATGTCTTTGGCCTTTAGATCTCTGTGTTATGTTAAAGCCTCCAATCTCTGTGGTTCACACAGTAAAGCCAACACTGATAATCAACTATTAATTATTAATTTTACAAAGTACAACCCTGTTTTCTGAATATAAATGCATTTAACACATTTTCAAAATCAAAATGCAACACTGTTCCAAACTCAAAGGTTTTCTAGGCAGTTCACCACAAAAAGTCTAAATAAAAATGAACTAGCAAGGTTTTTTTTTTTTAGGTATTTTGTAAAAAAAATCATGGAAAAATTAAGAAGATATTGCTGAACTGCAACTCTTGAGTTTAATTAATGCAAATTTTTATCTTTGTGCCATCTTCAACAATTTATTTAAACTGTGCTTTAAATGTATAAAGTTTGAATCAGCAAATTATCCTACACCGTTACCTTAAATCTCTGTCTTTTGACATTTCAAAGAGAGTAGGACAGCTGCTGCGTCTTTCATCTAAACCAAACAGAGTTCTAAAATCATGGGTTCAGTTTTAAATACTGGTCTACAAAAATCTGAAACACAACAACCAAAAAACTTTTATTTTTTATTTTCAGGAGTTCAGTACTTTATTATAAGTGCTTTTAGAAAAAAGAAATAAGGTCATTATCATTATTTTTAATTGAAAGATGCTGGATGTAGATGGAATATAAATCAACTTAAGTGCTTTTTTTGTTAACATGTTCAGTCGTCTAAAATAATACAAATAAAGAAAATCCGTTTTCTTGTTACCATATTGCTTCAAACCTTATCAATTTAAATTCTAAGCTTCTAGTAGACTAGGAAACATCCAGTGGATGTTTTCAGTAGACATTCTTTTCTCCCTCTTTTGAATCCTCTTTACTCTGTCGACACTTATGCCTCACTGACATTTTAAAAAACTGTTTCGAAAAAAGTATTTCGGTGGCATCCCACAGGATTTCTTAATTCTTTATTTATGTTAAAGCCAAAGCATTTTTTAACGACATGACTTGTGCCAACATCTGACTCAACCAACTTATGCATTTTAAATCATAAAAAAACTGAAAACTATCACCTCTAGTTGAACTCCATGTTAAATATACCATCAGGGGTTAAATGGCAGCAGAGACTAACTTGACAGCGATCATATAAACACAGGCTGCTCTGGCAGACTAACCGCCATTAAAAGACACTAATTTGGTTTCAGCTCTCATGGGTTTCCACAGACGGCCCCGTCTCGCCAGTCTACCATGCCATGTGCATTGTGGGAAATTATGTGTGCTGTGCATTTAGTGTGTTGTAATTTACAGCGATTGTGTTTCTTGAGTGTTTTTTTTAGGTGTATGAGAGGTGGGAACCGTTGGAGATCTGAGAGGTGATGCTGGCGCTCCTGCTCATGCCCTGCTCACTCCTCCCCCCTGATGACGTCCTCCTCATAGCCTGTGGGCTGTTCCTCACCCCTCCCGCACCTCCCTGACTACTTCTCTGACTGCCTCCTCCAGGATGGTGAAGGCTCCAGGGTGGCGGGCCGCCTGCAAGCATAGGGTGACCCCAGGGCTGCTGCGAACTGGAGCCCCCCTGGTGATGACCATGATGGCTGCCGCCTCCGCTGCTTCCTGGCCACTGGCTTCCCCCCTGACCGCCTCCTCCTCCTCCACCGCCTCCTCCCCCCCAGCCTCCTTGGGAATCGGGAGCCAGGTTGGTGATTACCATGTTGCTGAAGCCCAGCCGCAGCGACTCAGAGTCGAAAGCCTCAATCTCATGAGCCTGGCGCTCCAGCAGGGAGCGGATTCGCTCCAAACGCTCATTCTGGAGGGAAAGCATTTCCTCTTCGATCTGAGGAACAGAAAAATGTAACAAACCATTTGAAAAGTTAAATGGTCCAGCAGAAGTCAAGGTAAAGGGTCATTTTAACATAAACAAAACAAAAAAAGTTATTGAGATATTTAGTCGCATTAGAAAGAAATAAAAAGAATAAAACGATACATTTTAGCATTTCCTATAAATAGAGTTTTTTTTTTTTTTTTTACATATTTTTATCTTTACATTCCAAACATTAGCAGACATGCCAGTAAATTTCCAATCGATGTGGACCTTCGCTGGTTTTCTGACAGCCTAGATAAAGTTAGACCAGCTTGCCTTCTGCTCCAGCAGAGCCCTCCTCAGGGACACCCTCTGCTCCAGGTCCCTCCTCTCCTTGTCGTGCTGTGCGTCTGTCTGCATCTTGATCTTGCTCTGGTAGGCGTTGAGAAGCTCCAGCTCCTGCTGCAGCTGCATCCTCAGAACCTGACATTCACCCTCCTGAGCCTCATCTAACCGTAGCTGAGGGTGGAACAATCAAAGAGAGCGACAAATTAATTATTTGCTAAAATCCCAAGAAAACTCACGATAAATGAGCAACAGCTAGATGAGGAAAATTATATTTTTGTGAAAAAAAGACAATTACCGCCTGTGTAGATAGCATCTCATTGATGGAGTGGTCGTACTGCTCGGCCAGGATGGCCAGCTTCCTGGTCTGTTCCTCCTTCAGCCTCTTGAGAACAGCCTTATGCTCAGATTTTGGGGTGGTCTCCAGCAGGTGGTTCCTGAGCGCTTTGTATTGCCGTGTCTGTGTCTTACACGTCTCCTGCAGCTGCTTCTTAATCTGAAGCTCCTTGGACTAAATATGGGAAAGAATCCAGGAGAGGTTTTACATTTTGACATTGATGGTTTCTCTATAGGTTAAGATCTGCACCAATTTTTGTACCTTCAAGCTTTTAGGCTGCTGTCGGACCTCCATGACATGCTTACGCCTCAGTTCTCTCTCCCTCCTCTTGTTGTATTCCAGCTGGTTGGTGAGCTCAGTCTGGTGCTGGGTTCGGATCAGGTCGGCGCGGGCCCTCTGGATAGTCGCCAGATGCCTGAACTCCAGCTCCTGCATGGACTCGTGATGCCTGAGCAGCATCGCATGTTCCAGATCCTTCTGCGTCTGCCGCTTGTTCAACTCCTTGAAAACATAGTAAAAGGTTTTTCAAACAGAGAAATAAGAAAAATGGGGATGTCTAAGAAGCATTTGTGTTCATGAACCTCTCTTGCTAGATCCTGCTCCACATTGTGTCTGGCAATTAGGATCCTCCGTTTGAATCGGCGACACTCCAGCTCCAGGTACTGCCTCTGCCTCCTCAGCAGGTTGGCCTCTTCTTCTGCCTGTAAATAGAAAAGCAGGTCAAAAAAATAGGAGCCCAACTCTCACCAACTAAAACCTTCAACAACTTTGCAAATTGCAAATACAACAAATAGTCCTCATATTATTTACCATGTATCGTTTTTAAAATATTTACCTGGAAGTGCTGAATGTTTTCCTTCTGCTTGGAAAGCCACTCCTGCTTCTCCTTTTTGGGAGTCGACTGGTTCTCACTCAGTTCCTGCCATAGAAGCATCAATAACTTTTGTTAGATTAATGATTAAAATTCTCTCTATACATCTAATCTGTTCAGGTTCAGTTGATTTAAAGGTTGGTTAAAGTTACCATCAATAGTTCAGGTTTACCTCTTTTAGCTGCTCCTTGCGTAGTTTGTATTCCCGCTTCTGCGACTCCAAAAAGCTGCTGAGCTCCTTCTTCTGCTGCACCTGGATGTGCTGCTGAAACTTCTTCTCATCGTTGGCAAATGTCTTCAGCTAAATCGCATAAAAACATAAATAACTATACCAGAATCCATATCAATATTTTAGTTTCTGTTAACACATGATAACCAGTCTGAGTGCATACATCTTTCTCTAGTGCAGCTTGGTGTTTTTTGAGCAGCTTCTCCATCTCCTGAGTGAAATTGTTCCTCAGACTCTCCAGCTCCTTGTCCAGCCTTAGCCGATGCTCATCCATCTCTCCTTTCAGCTTGTTCTCCAGGGCCATCAGGTGCTTCTGATGCTGCCGCCTCATGCGTTTGTAACCTGACATCTGCTCCCTTAGCTCAGAGTCCTGCTCATGTTCTTGCATCTCACGCGTCACCTGTGAGATGGGGATTCATGAGAACCGCAAAGTCCACAGGGTTGACATGAGAGGGGGGAAAAAAATATGGAGAAGGTGGTCTTACAAGGGATGCTGTGCGTATCGTAGCAAAGTGCTCTCTGTTGCGGTAGTGCTTCTTTTGGGCCTGAGCTGGAGCTGGCTGTGGCTCGGTAGGTTCGCTGCTTGCTGCCTGCTCACCAGAGAGACTCTCCTCTTCCTCCTGGAAAACAATTCATCATATTAGTTAGAAACCATTTAGAACTTGAGCCCCAGTCAGCTTTGGCAGATGGCCGCTCACACTGAGCCTGGTTCTGCTGGAGGTTTCTTCCTGTTAAAAGGATGTTTTTCCTCTTCACTGTCGCTACAAGCATTCTTAGTGTAAGGGATTGCCTTCGAGTCAATGATTCGATGCAAGCAACTGGTTTTCCTTAGATAGAAAACTGAACAATAACACTGTATTATCTGGTTAACTGTAAAGTGCCTTGAGATGACATGTGTCGCGAATTGGCGCTATATAAATAAACTGAATTGAATTGAACGAGTCAGGAAGCAGTTCACAAAATATTGAATATGTGGATATAACATAATATTATTCATGAGCAAAATATTTCCAAAATACCAAAATGAAGAGAGGTGCGCCCTCTAGTGGCTTTTCAAAGCGATTTTCTAGTTGTTTTATGTAATAGCTAATACAGTTCAAATTGTACTATTTGAATGAAACCTATTAAATAATCTGTCTTCATTGGCCTGTTGAAGTATTCATATCTCTAAAGATCCCACAAGATCAGCAAACGTACCAGTAGGTGGCGCTGTTAGAAGATTGTATCAAACCACACAAATCAAACCTTTATCCTCTGAAGTATGAAAACATGCAGTTTAAAATTGTTTAACCCAAAATTTAATTCCTCAAATTAAACTTCTTATTCAAATAATATTGCCTGTGTTTTTTTATAACGTTCAATAAGAGTTTTAGACATTTCTTTACCAAGTTGCTGGTGGGTTTTAGAATGACTTTCAACATTATTTTTAGTCTAACGTTTTCAGCTCAGTCATCAAAATAGTGTTTGGGCAGAACAGAATTAAGAATATGTGGAATATATGATTTCCCTTATATTCATTTTTGCAAATGTCACTTTATAACTTAAGCCCTATATCTCATATCTTGTTTATATAAATTACTACAGACTTTTTATTTAAAAGCTATATTACCTTTACTTGTATCCAAACCTGCATCATTGATTATATTTTAGTCATACATAAATAACTATCTCTCTATTTTTATTCCTATTTTTTAAAAACACTAAGTTGGGGGTTTGCATAAACTTGTTGTTTTCTGTTTATTTTGTGCAGAAAAAAGGTCCACAGCAGCAAAAACATAAATTCACACAACCCCATTGTGTCTTGATCTGGTTTACAAAACAGAAATTAAAGCCTGTTTGTATGACTGAGGTAGAGACATGTTGATTCCCTCCGAATACTTGTTGACTCCAATCTTCTCTCTTTGATGCCAACAGATGTTCCTGATACAACTTGTTCCCAATGGTTTTTAATGCACCTAAAGATTAAACTAAAAACAAATGGGTCCTCTTTTCCAATTAGTAGTAATGGCCACCAGGTCTGTACTTTTATAGGTACCGACCAAACTCTATCAGTACTATAGAGTTGTTGGAGTAAAATCAAACGGTAACATATTTAGCTACCTAAATGTATTATTGGGACACAGACAGAGGAAGAGTGGGCAAGTTTCCATGCCAGACTAGAACACTGCATGCACAAGAATGTATATGCATGCTGTCAGATGCTGCTGCTGCTACTAAAAAAACAATCATGGCTGATAGAAGGCTCAACTCCTAATAAAGAGGTGAGCTCCACTTTTAAAAATGCAATGCAGAAATCGTTCTCTGCAGTATTTGTGCTGTTGAGCTGAATGTAAGTGACAGGAACACTTCTACAACTCCTGCATTATGCAGCGTCCCGCATCAGATGCGACTTGTCAACAACATGTCTCATACATATCAATTCCCAGCTAGCAGAATTTGGTAGCATATCCGCTGAAATGTGACCGGTACCCATCCCTACTAATTGGGCAACTCTGAAGGTACTTGCTTTATTCTTTTATCTTGGGGTATTTAATTTAAAGGGGGCTTAACAGACGTAAACCACACGTCCTAGGTTTTAGCTATTAAAGAAAAAGTGCTTAAAGCCAAGATTCCTTTTTCGTTCTGGTTTATCCCGTCAAATCTCTTCCAAAAAAACAGTTTTTGAGTAACAAAAATAACAAGAAAAAAAAATCTAGGAAAAAAAATGCATTAACATTTTCCAAGCAACTGCATAAAAAATGACTCTTGGTTTCATAGATGTATTGCGTGAAGCTTTTACAGCTGCATGACAGTACAGAGCATCCACTGAAACAATGAGTTTCAGAGCTCTGGTTTGCTGGCATCGGCTTGCTTAAAGAGCAGGACAGGCCACGAGTGGGAGGACGTTACAGAAGCGTTCGCTTTTCACAACAGTACAGATAATTTAGGCTATACTGAAGAATGAGGCACAAACAGGAGAACATTTCACTTTGGATTCAGCGTACTAATTTTAATGGAAATGCCAAACGGCAGAACCAAAAGGCTTTGAGGCCGATCCGAACTGTTTCCATACATCATTATTTTCCAATACCAGCCATTTCATTTGATCAAAGAAATCAAAATTGCAAATAGACTTTTTTCTTTTAAAATATGTGAAAAATTTTCAAATATAAAAACACTAATACATAATATAATTAAATGTCATTGTTTTTTTTATTTAAATGTTTAAAATATATAAATTTTTTTAGGAATATCTTTGAGTCGACTGAAAACCCTGATAAAAAATGACATGGGCCATTATTTTAAGACTGTCCGTATAATACAGTAATATTAAGCTGTATTGCTGTAGCTCCTTTTAAACACAGATGAGTGTCCAAAATGGTAAAAGTTCAGGAAATGTTGGGTGTAATGTAAAAACAGATCAGGATAGGAGGTTAAAAAGAAAAGGTGTTTCTATCTAGAATAATATTCCTATACAAATATTTTACAAAAATACCACCTAATACCAAGTGACCGACAATGTACTGAAAAACTGTGAAATAGAAGAAATATAATGCAACCTTTTTAAGATGTTTCACACACCATCTGAATATTGTCTTTATTGTATTCAGTCCTCTTTACTCCTAAAATTAAAAAATAAAGTTTAACCAAATGCTTTCAATTGTCTCCTGTTTAGTAAATAAGCTAATTTGTGTTTTTTTAACCTCTGTTAAATTGTTTTATCTCAGTGAATGTATGATGTTGATAAAGGAATTCTGATTCTACTGTTCATTGCATCACCTAAACCTGGTATGTGTGTGAAGCACCTACAGAGATGCATTGCTCAAGTAAGATTATCCATCATGGGAATCCAGTTGTCTTCTACTCTACAAATCTGCTGTTTATCGAAGCACAACCAGAGGAAAGCCACTGCAGGGAGACAGAACAAACTGCTCCTTTTGCAGTTTGCAAAGTCATTGGAGATAAACTTAACGTGCTGACGAAGGCTAAAAACTTAAGACTAAAAATTGAAAATGTTTAGAAAAATAAAGCCAAACATCATCCACAGTCCTCCACAGGGAAAGATGGTGGAAGCATCAGGCTGTGGGAATCATTTTCTTCAGCAGGAATAGGGAAGCTGATCAAAGTTAATACGGAGATGGATGGAGCTAAAAATAAAGAAACGCCAGAAGGAACCTTTAAAAGGCTCCAAAAGATTTGAGGCGGTTCGTTCAATTTAAAGCAGAACATAGAGCCTAAACAGAGCTAACAGCAAAGGTTTAGATCATATTCATATGATGTTCCACTAAAATCTAACTGACTTCCCATATACTGCTTTAGCTCTTTGTCATTAATGTTTGTTTAATTAAACATAAATTCCTTTATTTGATTGTCCAAACTGCAAACCCTAGATATTAGCAGATTACCCCCAATTCAAAAAGTTCAAATTAAAAGCGAGAGAACCTTTTAAAATAAGTACAAAGATAAGCAATGAAACTAATGCTGTATGTTAGAGTTTCTCCACCCACCGGTTTGACGTGTATCACTGAGCTGTTTGACATAACCGTGTGGTCTCCCTCCATTAAGTCCAGCTCACTGCGGCTGTCTTGGGCCGCTTCATTCAGGCTGTTGACAGAGCTGCTCTGGGAGCTGGCACTGATGGACATGCTGGGGATGGACTGATTGCTGCCAACACTGTTCACCGTTCCTGTACGACCTCCGCCTAACTCCAGGTCCTAGAGCAGAGTGGACAGACCACACGGAAAGACAGCAAGAGAGAGAGGACAAAGAAAGACCAAGAGGTACAGAGAGTACAAAGAAGGAAAGACATGCACAAAACCAGCATATGCTTAATAACTTGCTCTAATTGAAGCAGCCAACAGCGGTGGGTGAATTTAGTATCCACAGACCTCCTCTCCATCCTGGGGCTCTGTAGTCGGCCCGTTGTGGGCCTCTTGAAGGAGTATCTTCTTCATCTTGCGGTACTGCAGGTTGTCTAGCTCTCGCACCGCATCCTTGGTTCTCTGAATGAGATCCATCAACACCGAATCTGGTCGTTCACGCTGCAGAAATGCGTGCTGGAGGGCAAGAAGAAATACAAAACTTTAAGCAAAGTTTCTGATTGTGATCCAACAGATACATCCCTGATATATCAGTTATGGACTAGAATCTGCACACAGTCCATAAACCCGACCAATGATTTGCTGTTTCCATACTAAACACAACTGGACAACCTTCACCGTGGTCAATAGTTAAGATAAAACATGTCCTCAGACAGGTTTACACTGCTTTGAAGCTGCAAGAGCATGAGAGAAAACTAGACTTTCAACAGACACCAAGGTAGAGTGGATGCATAATAGCTGCTCGGTTTTTATCCTTTTGAGCTTCATCTGCATATGCCAATGCTGGAAGTCAAGGAAATGCGCACAGAGACAATAAGCTTGTGGTACTAACTGCTAATGTAAGATACTAAACCAAGCTTAAATGCTAACAATTTGAACTTTTTTTTTTTTTTTTTTTTTTAAGGAAAATCTAATTTTCCAGTGCCGGCTCTAACTGACATGATGTTACACCTACATCTGATAAAAATTATGAATAACCAATGGCAGAACAAGGAAAATACTTCTAATGTCTTTGTCACATGTTCTGATATTACTTTTTTAAAATAATCTGAAAAAAGTGCTGGCCTAAAATCTCATAGATACAGATGCACGTTATATCGGCACTGGTATCATTTGATATTTTTCATCTTTTAAACAGTCACCAGATTTAGAAACATATTTATTTACGTAGTCTTTGGAGGAAAAGGGAATGGGTTCACCATGTGATATTGTTTTTATTATGACAATGAAGGTGATGCAGAGCAGGACCTTTCACTAAAGCAGACAATGTAAGCGGTTTGAAGGATGGATCATGGTGTCAAAGGTAGGGAAATGCTACTCATTCTCATCTGTCTACTGCTTCCGTGAAATAATGACACCGCTTACTGTTTTTTTGGTAAATTTACATTGTTTGCATCCATGTTTACTTACACCCAGCATGTCGTCAGAATGTGGCCTGTCTTGGGGATTTTTCTGAAGGCAAGAATCGATAAAGTTTCTAAAGTAATCCGTCCTGGAATAAAATTGAAAAGACAGAAGGTCATAACTATTACATATTAAAGTAAGAATTTACACTGAAAATAAAACCTTTTTTAAATGATGATAATATAAAGTTAAGCAAAAGTGTTCTGGAGCTTTATGGCTTAGATCCAATAAGTTTGCAACACTAATGAAGATGAAAAGCGTAATAAGAAGACACTCCCCACCATTCACTGGATTGCAGCGTGGGGCTCTCATTCTGCGCTATGTGGTATAAGGCACTCATTGCATTCATATTGAAGAGTGGAGGCTTCCTCTCGGCTAAAAAAAGGAAAACAAATGTAAATTACAGAATCAAAAATACATTTACCAAATTTAAGTACCTCATTTAGAACATTATCCTTTAAAGTTCTGAGTTTAGACGACAGGTCCTAAATTCTTGCCCCAGAAAAGGGCATTAAAGATGCCACTAAAAACAGCGGTATTTTTATTAGAGCCAATAAAAAAATGCCTTTTTCAAATAGAAGAATTAACTGCATCAATGCAGTGTAAGATGGTTGGGATCCCTGTGGCTCTAATGGGGTTGTTCTATCAGCTGACCTCATTTTTCTCTAAAAAAATAAAACAATTAATTCTCCATAGTTCCAGGGATTTTTCTGGGCAATCAAGTACATTAAAACCATGGTCATTCAAACAGGTACTGCAACTTTAAGCAGCGGGAGAGTCTATTTCTTGCATGAAAAGGAAATCTGCATTTCCCTAAGCGTTCAGCAGAGGGCAGCACACAGTGCTTTGCTTTGAAATATTGTCATATTATTGATCCTTTCTCACCGAGTATGAATTAAAATAATAAAACCAGATTATTCAACAGTTATTTGTTAGGCATACCTGGTATACTATGGTGTCAACTTCCAGTCAACAATTTTCCTCATGGTTTAAATTTTTCTCTTGTTTTTGCACAAAATATGTAATTATTAAAAGAAAAAAAAATTATTCATCTTCTGGAGTTATTGTCTGTTTTTTCAAAGAAAGACAGTTTTGGCTTCTGGTTAGATGTAAGACATAACTGTCTATCTTGTTAGATTTATCTATAAATATCTATAAACATAGAAATGTTGTTAGCTCTATCAGGCTTGGCCCACCAGCTCCACCAGCTTGGAGATGTCATCATCCAGCCATGTCAGTTTTTGCTTCTGCTCAGATGTAAGACATACCCGTCTATGTTGTTCAATGTAACTGTCTATAATGTTCGTAGATTGCTTCAGATGTTGGCCTTGGTATGTCGCTGGCTCATATTTTATGTATTTGTGTTACTTCTATCTTTTATACTGCTGCCATCGTTAAAGTGAGCAACTTCCTAACATCAGGCAGTCTTATCTAGGCTGTTTCTTTATATAATGCAAGCATGTTTCCAATTTACATTTTTTTTTTTCAACCTTTAAGCATTACTTTACATGCACAGTTGTTTTATGAACTGCTGATTGGAATGTAAGGAATAGGAAACCAAGGTACAATTTCTTGTTTGTGCCCAAAACCTGGTCATTATAGAGCTGTTTTTGAGTGGGGAAACTTTTTGTTTTTATTGCACTTATTCTCTGTCCATTGATAGTTAGAAAAAAGTATACAATCTAAACTTTATTCCAACCTGCGATGTGCTTATGCCCATGTAGTCCTTAGGGATACACCCCACACATTAAGAACCGCTGGCTCGGACCTACCTAATTCTATACAGGTAATGCCCAAGGACCAGACATCCACTTTGCCGTCATACTGGCCCTCATCCATAGCTAGAATCACCTCTGGGGCCATCCTGAGTAAAAGTAAAAAACAAGTCTTAAAAGAGAAATCAAAGGCATACTTTATCACAGCAATTTCTTGCTTATTTGTTTTACAGTGAATGTGAAAAACACAGATGGAAGGTTGTGGCAAAAAATATGTTTTTTTTCATATTAACGGAATACATCAAGTAATGCTTAAATTGGGGGTTTGCAGAGAAACAGGAGAGACTCATTTGAATACATCAGCTGGTAGCTCTACATGAATATGCAAACAGAGGCAGACTCTTTTTACAGTCAAATTGACTGTAGAAATCAGAGACTTAAGTTTACATGTAGTCCAAAGTGGAACTGAACTTTTGTAGCATGTTTACTGTTCTTACTTACCAATATGGTGTTCCCACAAAGGAATTGGCAGGTGAGGCAATGGAGGCAGAGCCAAAGTCCGCCAGTTTGACTTGGCCAGGCTCAGTCAGCAGGATGTTACCAGCTTTTACATCCCTGAAATGAAATAATGTGCAGAATTAAAGGTGATCAGTGGTGTACTGTAGTGTTTAAAAGCTCAAACTAGCTGCATCATGTAAAATATCTCACCTGTGAATCATATTGTGGGAGTGAAGGTATGCCAGCCCCTGCAGAGCACCGTGTGTAATGGCAGCAATCTCAACTTCTTGTAAAGGTTTTTTATGGACTGTGAGAGGACATAAGTAGAGAAAATAGTAAATTTGCCTTTTTAATCGCAGCAGTCTTAAGTCTTTTTTATAAGATACTTTGTTCTTTTTTATTTTACCTTCAAGCAAGTCAGAGGCTGAGCCAAGGCAATACTCCATCACCAACTAGAAACAAGCATGAATTAGGTAGACCCATAAATGATTGTGAAAATATAGCAAATCAAAATGAATGACTTACCCATGCTGTGTGCTCACGGAGGTAACATCCTTTGTATTCTATGCTGTTAGGGTGTTGGATCCTCTGGAGAAACTTGACCTCTTTAATGATGTCCTGCCATTTCTGAATTAGAAAAGAAAAAGTTAAAGTCCATCGACACTTATAATAGCTGTCTGCGTTAAAATAATTGTACATTGCACATACACACATAAGATGGTTCTGTTTGCCTAAAAAGTAATCATAGCCAATAAGAAACCATCTTTGCAGTAAACTGCAAACAGAGGCAAGTATACTCTGGTTCATCAGAAGGGTTTTTGGTAAAAGAAATTACAAATCAAAGTTAAATTATTGCTTCAAATGTGTGTTTTTTTTCTTTGAGATTCATAAAGAATCAATTCATTGAATGTATTATTTTCTATAGTCAATTAGTTTAGCATTTTGCTACACTCTTATAGTTCTTTTATTTAGGGATGCATGATATTGGGATTTTGGCCGATATCCGATATGCCGATATTTTAAAACTCATGTAGCCGATAGCCGATAACCGATATCGATACTGATGTTAAAGCTGGACAAAAATATGCAGTGATTGAAAATAGCAGTTTTGTTATCCATTTCTGACACTTTGAAAAATAATATACTCAAATATATTTTCATATGCTGATATCAAATAGATTTTTAAAAACGCGGTATCGATCTATTTTACTTTCAAAATCTCATGAAATTTCATCGTTCTGTTACAAACTCTCGTGATATTTTGCAAATTCTTGTAAGATTTTGTTAGTAAAATAGAACGATACCGCGTCAATATATCAACATATAAAAATATGGCAAAACTTTGTGAATTTTTGGGGGATGACATATAGCAATATTTCATTAGTAAAAGAGATTGATATGATGTTTTTAAATGGCAATGTATCAGCATATGAAGATATTGTGATATTTTAATGTATCAATATTTTTTCCCTCGTCTTTAGAAGTTTTTAAGTCTGTAAAAAAGAAGTTTTTGAGGAAGAAGAAGAAGTAGTATTTCTTTTTTTTTTTTTTTTTTTTTTTTTTTTTTTTAGACTTTAGAAACTCAGAAGCTGATCAAATATTGGGTTAAATATCGGTAGGGTGGCCGATGTCCGATATTCAGTTTTAAGGCCGATACAGGCCGATACCGATAGGGGGCCGATTATATCGTGCATCCCTACTTTTATTCATTTTACCAGACCTGGGCAATCCTAAAGTAAGGGTGATACTTTCTCAGACTGGTTAAAGTCAAAGATAAGTAGACAACCGTTTTCATGTAAAAATTGCATATTTTTAGTACCAATCAGTGCAATTATAAATTAAACATGCTAAATAATATCCTCCTGATGCCATTCCAACATTATTTAGATGTATTAAGATTTCCGTGTGGGAAAATGCATAAATGGTAGCAGCTATGAAAGGCACAGAAACTGTAAAAACAAAATCTTTTTTTTAACTCAATTACGATCTTTTGATTCTTTATGTAATTAAAAAAAACATTTAGATTATGTAAAAAAAAACAAAAAACAAATCCATCTCACCTCATTAGACTGTTTGCCACTGTAAGACATCTTTTTAATTGCCACCACCTCGTTCGTTCGCACGTCCCGTGCCTAGGAAACATCAACCAAAGCTATTAGTTCACATTTCAAACAAAACAAGCATTTACCTTTGAACTTTCTGTAGATCGATATAAACAAGAAATACTTTGTTTACATCCCCAGCATATGGATCATTTAGAAACTGCAGTCAGATGCAAAGAATCAGGAAAGTTACAGTCAGTTGGTGCAATTAGACTGTAATGGAGGGAGGTAGTTAGAGGGGGTAAACATTACTGAACAGGACACAGCTCACGCTGTTAGACTTATCTATAAGAATCTAAAACATTACTGTATAGAAACACACTATATGTTGTTTGAATATCTGAAGGCGGTGTATGGTATTTGGCCTTACAAAGTAGACGGCCCCAAAGCTGCCATGGCCAATCTCTCTGAGGTCAGAGAAAAGCTTCTCTGGGTCTTCTTTAAAGAACAGTTCGGCCACGTCCGGATCCTTTAGGCTCCCTGCCCTCCCAGAGGATGGCATCCTGGTTTACGTAGTCCCGTATCGCCCGTACAGACGGATGGGACTATCTGGGCGCTGAGCTACACCAAAGCAGCTGAAGATTCATTTGCAGTTATGTGGGAGCCTGAGGAGGTCAACGCATGGACACCTAGGCAGAAAAAAGACAGAGAGAAGGATTGAGGTGTAAGCAATGGCAAAGTGAGAAACATTCTCTTTCCACAGAAGGGAGAAGATGAGAGAGATGAGTCAGTAAGGCAGCATTTAAACAGTGTAAAAAAAGAAAAAGGTGTGATCCACACTGAACATTGTTTAAAAGAACATCTCCACAATTTAGGATCGCAGTTCCTGGTTATTACTTTATATGTCTTCTAATTACCTGCATAAGAAAATTCAGGAAGTCCTGATTTATTCAAAAGAGGTTCTCCACACAACCAAAGTAAATATAAATAAATAGACTTTGCTTTTTTTTTTTTTTTTTTTTACAGCAAGGTCAGAAGCTCTCTGAATACTAAAAATGCTGGATATTAATTTTCCGTGGTTGAACCTCCAGCTTCTGCTAATAACATGACAAACTAACTACAGAGTCATCACTAGTGAATCTATATAGACTGAATCAGCAATCGCTGCAAATCTGCGCTCCACAGGCGTGACTGAGGCTATGCAAATATCCCAGGTCAACGATTGATTTAGTGTCCAAAACAAAGAGGTGGCCGGCAGTAATGAGAGGCGAGCTGAACACTGATGATGAATAGGGATGTGGGTTGATCTCTTTAAACTCCATTCATCACTTTTGTTCCAGTTAATACATGAACTCTTTACGATATTATTCATTATTGGGGAATACTTAAACACACTTTAAACACACACTCATCACAGCACTGAATGTCCTGAGCCTGCAACATCATCAATGACCCCTCACACCCCCACCATGGACTGTTCTCCCGGCTGCCCTCTGGGAAGAGGCTTCGCAGCATCCGCTGCAGGTCCAGCAGGTTCTGGGAAAGCTTTTTCCTCTGTGCCATCAGACTATTGAACTCTAAACTGGACTCTGCATCACACTTGCAACATTATTTTTGCACCACCAGCGTGGCTGAACTTTTTAATAATCCTTTTAAATAGGATGCAACTCAATGCTATACAGCATTTTGCACAGTATCTATTTTGCACTGCAGTGAACATTTCCAAATTATTGCCCCTTTGCACCATTATTTTCTATACTGGTTTTCCTTCTCTCCTATACTTTTTAAATGAGGATAACTTCTGCATTTTATAATGGTAATGTTCATTTAAATGTTGTACGTTGCTCATTTCACAGCTGCAAGGTGTAAGCAACGCAATTTCGTTTTGTATACCCTTGGTGTACACAAAATGACAATAATGCTTGTCTAATAGTTTACAAGCTGACTACAGGGGTGTTCAACTCACTTAGAGCAGTAATTATACTAACATTGTAAAAAAAATCTATAAACATTTTGCATTTAGGAAAAAAATCTTTTTCATCTGTTAATATCCACAGCTCCTCATGTGGAAATGTTTTAGTTTCATCTGGTGTAATTTAGCAAAACGTCTTCTTTAAGTAACCTTTTGCAATCCAATTATTAATCAATTAATAAAAAAATAATAATACTATTCAACAGATTAATAGATTTGCAAATTAATCTTTAGTTGCAGCCCTAGTCCAGCCTATGGGCTATTTGCAGCCCCCTTCATGATTTTCTGAGGCAAGCGAAAACAATTCAAACTGCCACAAGCGAAGGATGCTGATGGCTTTTTTTTTTTAAGGCTGGGCGTTAGCTCCAAAAGTAGGGCTCTGGGATGATGCAAGTTGTACTTTAAAACAAAGAACCATGTATTTACTAATGTAGGATATCAAACAGTTATTTGAAAGGAAAATGAGTATCTTTACAATAAGATATCTGGAGAAAGATTTTACAATTTAGCTTATTAAGGAAATGAAAATTAATATTTGGGGAAAATTATTCTCTCAAATTATATTGCAGCTAAGTAAAGATCCTGCGCATGTTTTACATTCTGGTAATTTTGATTCAGCTGGAATTTAAAGTGGTTACATGAAATTTGTTTTTGATAAATCCAGACACAACTGAAAAACAGATCTTAAAGGTTTTGGGGAGACAATGCCTCACGTATTCTACCCCAAATTCTGTTTAGCTGCCCCTCATCTGACATTTTGACCATCATTACTTTACTCTGATTTTACTTTTCTTTCTGGGTTTGAGGTTTATCAGATGGAAAACCACAAAAATCAGAGCATATTTACATTTCAATTTTCAGTTCAATTCAGTTTATTTATATAGCTCCAATTTACACAGTAAAATATACAAATTAATAACATAAGAATATAACTAATGTTTTGATGATTTCATGTTTTTTGTAATCTTTTGAAGCCAAACAAGAACTGAACTGGCCAGTCTGTCTGTGTGACGTCAGCTATTTGGAAATTTGCTCAGATAATTAGAAACAGCTGTTGATGTAGAGAGCAGCAGCTAAGAAAACATTTTTATTAAACTTGTAAGACGTTCAAAGAAAGTCACGTTTGCAAAGCAGAATCGTTTTCCCCACTTTTTATATATATTCACAGTCACAGAGACACGTGAAGAGGCAAAATCAATGAGTCACAACGCACCAGGGAGTAGACCTGCTAGCGTTAGCCTAGCATTTTAGAAAGCTGCATGACAACATCGTCGTCAACGAGACCAAAGTAGTTCAACCTTGTGAGAGTCGTTCTTGAGTGAGAGATAATCCTGTCTAGAAAACTATTTCACCATTTTTCAAGAAAATAAATGACATTTTCTGAAACCAAAAAAACATTAAAAACTCTTCTCTAACCTTTAAGCCATGTTGACATAACATGCTGTCAGTGAGAAAGCATTTTACATATATAAAAATGATTTCCATTCCATAAATAGCTCAAACAAAATAAAACGTGTGATGAGCAGGTTTATTTCTGGTTCTGCAGCACTGCTGATGTTGACAAGTATACGCACAATAGGTAACCTTCCTGAAGCACCGAATCTTTCAGAAGCTTTATTCTGCTGTAAAGCTTTCCAGCTGTGTGCCTGCTTTTAATTAAGGCCAAGAAAGGCCTTTCAAACACATTTTAAAGTTGTTATAACTTAAAAACGAATTACTCTGTTTTACAGCTTTAAATATTTCTTCCCTTGAGTTTAAATTTCAAATGTGGATGTTCAGTTATTCAAATTTGCCACCACTTATTCTGTGCAGTAGTCCCATTACCTCCACCACACCATACTTGTTAATTATATTTGACTTGTGGGATTTCCAATTGTGCTTCTTCAGAGCATCATATGATTATATCTAAACTTGAGCTGCCGAGCCGGCTGAACAACATTTTTCAGGAGCTACATGATCCACATAGCAAACACAACAGCATGAACTCCTTTCCTTCTAAACCAATCGGTTTCAATTTCAACAGATAAAGTTAAAAAATGTTTACATTCTACCCTCCCAATAAGAACCGTCAACAGGACTATTTGGGTTAAAAAAAAGATATTTTCAGACATAAAGACTTCCTGTAAATTTCTTGAAGCCCTTTATCCAGATAAAGCCGGACATTTGGGCTGAATACCTTTCACTCCATAAGCAGAGGAAATCATTAGCAACTTAAATGAAAAGCATTTCTGACCTTTATTAATTAGAAACGATCACATTGGTGCCACAAATATTTTAGAAATATGTCAGAATAAAGTATCATTAATATTATGGAATTTTACTAAGACTGTGCTCCAAAATGAACCAATGCAACCTCTCTAAATAAGCCTGCTGTCTGCTTTGGCCTATAGACGTTGTTTTATCTGTTAGAAGAGATTCCCAGAATCAACACTAATAAGATGCACCACTGCAGAAGAGGCAAGGAAGGAACTTGTGGTCAAGTCAGAGATCTTAGTATTAGACCTGCGGTTAAAAAAGGCCCCGGTCAGGGACTTCATCTTTTAGGAGCCATCTGCACAGTTTCAAAAGAAAAGGGAAGTTTACTACTTCTCATGATTTAGTCAGTCATCTTATTCTAGCATCATTCTGACACATGCAATATTTATTTTAATATGCAAGACTACGACTATTTCACAATACTTACAGATCAGGGTTAACTCGGCAGCAACCAATTTTTGCTTCTTTTTAACACCTAACCAAGCTGATTTCTTTTTTCAGAAAGACTGACAAGATTATTTAAAGAAATGTAGTATTAATTTAAAAAATAATTGTAAAGAAAACCACTGACATTAATATAACGTGCTAAAGGTTAATTGAAAGAGGTTCTGGTTGGGAATCTAACATGACAAAAAAATTTTGAGGACACTTTTTAAATCTGATTAATTTTATTCAAACTATATTTGTTTGGACAGTTTTGATCTTTCTCTCAGTAATAATCAATCAAATATAGTATAATATACTATATTATTATATTATATATATATAACGTGCCGGCCTTATCAAACCTGATTGCAGCCATGCAGGATGCTACATAAGGCCTTAAGTTTTCAAATGATAATTAACCTTTACAATAAACATCCCTAGTCCCTAGTTAATGGGCAGCATAAGGAAAATACAACAGATATATTTCAAGATTATATGGACTAAAACGAAAATCGAACGAAAAATTACCCAAACAGCTCTTTCTTTCCATCTTTGTCAAACAGAACACCGAGTACAGTCACAAGACTAAAACTGGAAGATATGTGCCCAACTGCAGGATGTGTGTGTGTGTAATTACTCAGAGGAACAGTGCGTCCAAAAAAAAAAAAAAAATCACTGTTTTCACTGCTTTTACAGCAAGAAGAAAATTATTTTCTTGATTCCTGTGATTTGCCTTCCTTTGGGTGTCAAATAACAAAGAAAGGGCCCAATGAAGAAGCAAAAGCCGAGGAGCTGGAGATGCAGCATCCAAAAGACATGCAGAGGTGAATAATAAGTAATCAAACACTATTGTTCATTTCTACAGAGAAATTTATCATCAGAAAAACTGACATTTTATGGCACTTTTCTTATAATGGGATGTTTTTATTACAAATATGCTGGATAACTTTTTATCTGTGGACCCTTTCGGACAAATGGAATATAAACAATCTAATATATATATATATATATATAATAGGATTTAAAATACGGCCT